CCAGATCCCCCCAACCGCAGCAGACGGCTGGAGGTGAGGTTGCTGGGAGGCCGCCCAGGGCTCTGGGCTGAAGATAGCAGGTGCACTGCAGAGCAGGTGCGCATCTACCCACACACTGGAAGCCTTTCCAGCCCTGTTTGGAATTCTCGGCAGGTAACCACGAAGCACTGCCCGACAACTGAGGAGAGCCTCTAACTGGAAAAAGACACCCAGCCAAGTAGAAGAAAACAATATGGAGGAAACAGGGAAGATGCAGTTAGAAAATTTGGAATAGAGGGGCGCCTGGGTGGCTCAGTCGGTTAAGCAGCCAACTTCGGCTCAGGTCATGATCTCGCGATCGGTGAGCTCGAGCCCCGCGTCGGGCTCTGTGCTGACAGCTCAGAGCCTGGAGCCTGTTTCAGATTCTGTGTCTCCCTCTCTCTCTGACCCTCCCCCATTCATGCTCTGTCTCTCTCTGTCTCAAAAATAAATAAACGTTAAAAAAAAGTTAGAAAATTTGGAATAGAGACCTTAGAGATGGGACTTTCTGAGGTCAGAATAAGAATTAAAAAAATTTTTTTATCCTTTACTCTGCTAAGAGATGAAAAACTCAATAGAAGGACTGGGAAAAAGTTGAGGAACTTCTAGAAAATACCAAACCCCCTCCCCCACAAAAAAAAGATAAAAGAACATTTAGGGGCGCCTGGGTGGCACAGTGGGTTGAGCATCAAACTCTCGAATTCAGCTCACGTCATGATCTTGCAGTGCATGGGTTTGAGCCCCACATCAGGCTCCACGCTGACAGCTTGGAGCCTACTTGGGATTCTCACTCTTTCTTTTTTTTTCAACATTTATTCATTTTTGAGAGTGAGAGAGGCAGAGCATGAGCAGGGGAGGGGCAGAGAGAGAGGGAGACACAGAATCGGAAGCAGGCTCCAGGCTCTGAGCTGTCAGCATAGAGCCTGACGCGGGGCTTGAACCCACAAACCATGAGATCATGACCTGAGCCAAAGTCACTTAACTGATTGAGCCACCCAGGTGCCCCATCTCGCTTGCTCTTACTCTCTGCCCCTCTCCCGCTCACACGTTTGCTCACTTGCTCTCTCTCTCAAAATAAAAACTTTAAAAAAAAAGAACACTTTAAAAGCCTTATATCTGAATAATAGTTTTAGAAAGCGAAACAAAAACAAAACAGAAGGGAGACTTTCTTTTTTTTTTTAATTTTTTTTTCAACGTTTTTTATTTATTTTTGGGACAGAGAGAGACAGAGCATGAACGGGGGAGGGGCAGAGAGAGAGGGAGACACAGAATTGGAAACAGGCTCCAGGCTCCGAGCCATCAGCCCAGAGCCTGATGCGGGGCTCGAACTCACGGACCGTGAGATCGTGACCTGGCTGAAGTCGGACGTTTAACCGACTGCGCCACCCAGGCGCCCCCAGAAGGGAGACTTTCAATGAAGCAACTTAAGAAACTTCTTCACAGCTCCAGGGCACGATTTTCTGGATGTAAAAGGGGCTGGTCAACCATCCAGTGGGAATGAATGCAAAGTCCCAAGAAATATGAAATTTTGGAACACTGGGGGCAAGTTTTCCAGAAAAGACAGGTCATATGGAAAGGACCAGGTGTGAGAATGCTTGGGAATTCTCAGTAGCAACATGGGAAGTCAGGACTTCAAAATTCTGAAGGAAACATGCTTGTTGGCCCACATTTTAATATGGAGACTATGGTTCAAGTGCAAAGATAGATCAAGAGCGTGTCCAGATATGCAAGGTCTCAACGAATTTACTCTCCCCACAGCCTTCCTCAATAAACTACTGGAGAATGTGTGCCACCAAAATGAGGAAGTAACCCAGGAGGGAAACATAAAATACTGGAAATAAGATGTCCGATACAGAAATAGGATGTCCAACACGGAAAGGCAAAGGGAACTGTGAAAGACAACTCTGGATAACTGTGTTCCGTGAACAGAGGGTGGATAATTGAGACTAAAGCAGACAGAGGCTCCAGAAGCTTCTGTGGGAAGATGGAACTATGACTACCTGATGTTCTTCACTAATCACATTAGTAACGTTTCATGAGGTAGAAAGAAACTTTCCAGAGTAAGAAACCAAACCATTTAATTGACCAGTGATTACCAATACGACTATAGTATTTGGACATCATGACGTACATACCTTTTGTTTTTTCTAGAAGGGTTGAATGAAATGTGCTGATTCTAAGTTTTAAAACACTTCAAATTTGGGAGTTTAAAACTTTATTCTGCCACTTACTAACCACGCAGCTTTGGGCAAGAGCCTTAACCTTTCTCAGCCATTGTCTTAGGGTTAATACAAATTACCCGAAGGTTACCGTGAGGACAGAAGCACAGGACAGTGCGTGGCCTGACACAAAGCCCTACTTGCAGCACCGGTAGCAGCTGTCCTAACTTCGAGAACTTGTCAATATGCCTTGAACGCTAAATGGAAACACATGTAGTGCTTTTGTAGCCATTGGCCGGCATTGAACAGCCTCAGCCTTACGCAAATTTTCCCCTTTCAACTACAGTGACTAATGGGAGATAATTAAATGATAGGAATAATTAAATTACTATCACCTACAGTGATAGTAAGAGTGGCTTAAGGTTGCGTTTAGAAGCAGTAGGGAGCTGGGGCACCCGTGGGGGTGGGGCTCAGTTGGTTGAGCATCTGACTCTTAATCTTGGCTCAGGTCACGATTTCACGGTTCGTGGGTTCGCGACCCATGTCAGGCTCTACACTAGCAGTGCAGAGCCTGCTTGGGATTCTCTCTCTCAAAATAAATATCCTTAAAAAAAAAAAAAAAGTAGCAGGGAGCTACTCAGTGATGGTCAACCTGGCTGTTCAAAAGCCCCACCTGGGTAGCTTCTGAAAGACATCCAGGACCCATCCCTGAACTTTGGATTCAATTAGTCTGGGATAAGACCCAGACATCAGCATTTTTAAGGTCCCCAAGTGATTCCAGTGCGTGGGAAGGAAGGTTGCTTCTGACAGGGTCGTACTGCCCTGTACACTAAAGAAGAAAGTTTTAGTAAATGCTAGAGGCAAGCAGGTGCGGAGCGGGGAGGGAGACGCTGAGCAAAAAGGTAAAAGCTGGGTGGCTGCAAGCGGCTGCCAGACACAAGAGGGAGAGTTAACACCGAAGTCGCTTGAATTGCCGAGTAGCCTCCCGTCCGTCTCCAAAACCTCAAGCGGGCCTGTTGCACAAGTAGCAAAGATAAAGGGGGTTGAGGGGGAAGAATCAACTTAAAGAGCCACGTCAGGAAAGAGCCGTGAGAGGACAGTCCCACAGGAACAGGAACTCAGAACTGGGTGTCTGTGGCTGGACACACGGTGGGGCCTCAGGATGGGGCTGTGACACCAGGTGGCAGTAACAACTACACGGTCAAGGGAAGAACGTCCGTGTGCATGAGGTTTGCTGCTCGCCACGCTCAGATTCTTGGCCCGATGTCACCATGACCTTGACGCATTTATCCCCACCTAATCCCACAGCTCTCTCTCAGGATTCAAAATTCTCCATTCATTTACACAATTAAAATTTAGACTAACTGGGTCCAACCTCTTCCTCAAATTCTGATCAAATGAACTGCCTAGTTGAATCCAGTCAGAGCTCATTCACTTTCTTCCAAGTACTTTTTACTTAAAGATACAGGCCAAATATACGATATATCTTTTTAAGTTTATTTATTTATTTTGGAGGGGGTGGCGGGGGTGGGGGG